TTCATGTTTCTTCCTTGGAATCAGCACTTCAGACAGAACCCTTTTTTCTCCTCTCAGTGACAAGTTTAGTCTTGATAGTCACACGATGCCTGTGTCTGATGGACTGCTACAGACACAGTACAACCTTCACCCTCATTCTGGACATGTAATATCAAATCACGTTTATTGTCATAGTGCTGTACATACAACAGTAGTACAGACAAGATGAGAGAGCGTTTCTTCAGGATGCAAAAACTAAAAGCAATTAAAGAAGTGTTTGCATGTCCGCATCAGCAGTTCAGCACTCTGACATCTTCTGAATGAAGCTGTTGATCAGTCTGGTGGTTCATTCCTTCAGTGCTCTGGAAACGTTTACCTGATGGCAGCAGTTCAGTTTTTATGCTGAGTTAAAATCTCTGCAACTCAGGAGATTTTTCTACATATATTTAGCTATTGAATTTCCCTTCTGGGATAAATAAAGTATTTTTCATTTCATTTTCATTTCATTTTTCATTTCATTCATTCAAACAGTTTGCGGAGAGGGTATGAGGAGTCCCTGACAATGTTCAGTGCCCTGCTCCTGCACCAGCTCTGAAAAAGTTCAGAGCCAGCTGTCTGTCCACCCGGAACGATGTCGTCTCCTCCAGCTGTATGTCTGTCTGGGATGTTGTCATGTAGCCATGTTTCTGTTAAAGCAGACACACAGCAGTCCCTCCACTGTCTCTCAGCAAACGTAGCTCGTCCAGCTTGTTGTGGAGGGAGCGGACATTGGAGAGTAGGAGGACGGTCCTGCTGGTCTGGAGGGGTTAGCCTTTAGCATGGATCTCCTCCTGCTCCTTTGTTTATGTTTATACCGTTTGCGCTTCCTTCTCTCTCGGGTAACAGCGGGCGTCGTCTCCGATCAGACCCCGTGTTGGTGTAGTGCGTCCAAATCACAAACGAGCGCTGCAGTTTTAGTAACGTTCATTGCCCTGATTTTCAGCAAAGTGTCTTGGCTGTACGTTTTGCAGAATGAACGTCTGGGATAGACGAGATCCTCAAAACGTTCACTCTCGTTGTCTCGTGAAGGCGCTGCTGCGTCCATGTTCGCCGCCATCACCATGGAAAACCATTAAACCACAAAAGGCACTGCCGGCGTGATTAGACCGTTTATCTTGCTTTTATACATTTTCTCTGCCCACCAAAGTGTTCCAAGGCTTGGCAAGCTTTCACTCAAGTCTGTTTGTTTAGTAAACACGTCAGTTTTATTTTCTGCTCTTATCTGCTCCAGTGTCATCGATGCCGCCTCCTCCTCCGTCTCTGTCCCGGCTCTCCGAGGAGGAGCTCAGGGAGTTGGAGGCAGAAGGCCGGCGAGGCCTTGAGGCCAGACTGCAGTGTCTGCAAAACATCCACACCCTGCTGGACGCCGCCATGCTCAACATCCACCACTACCTCAGCACCGTCGCCACGCTCACGTAAATGAAGCTTAAATTTGTCAAGATGAATCTCAGTTCACTTCTTCTAACAGATAATGTGTCCTCTGTAGAAATCAAATCTAAAACACACACACGCTGCTCTTGTCTGTCAGTTTGTTCATGTAATGTGATTTTCAGTTGAATGCATCGTTGTTTTCTCCACAGTCCTCCTCGGGCTGAGGGCAGCGCCGGAGAGGCCAGCGGGACGAACCACACAGCATCGACTGCTGCAGCCGCCAGTAACGCAGAGAGTCCCGGCACGGAGAAGGATTCATCCAGCTGTAAGTAACTCATGAGTCCATCAGCGCTCTAAAAATGTTTTGCACGCAAACTTAATGTCAGCGGCGCTTCACAGAGTACAGAAAGCTTTCATTGCCAAGTGAGCTCGCACACAAGGAATTTGACAGAATGAATGAAACTGTGCTACAACAAGACAGGTAATAAATAAAGAAATCTAAAACAGATTCTCAATAAAATATTATATGCAAGTGGTAAATGGACTGCACTTATATAGCGATTTTCTACCTTAGCGGCACTCAAAGTGCTTTACAATGTGTTTCTCATTCACCCATTCACACACACATTCATACACCAATGGTGACAGAGCTGCCACGCAAGGTGCTGCCTGCCATTGGGAGCAACTTCAGGTTCAGTGTCTTGCCCAAGGACACTTTGACTGTGGAGGGGTGGGGGATCGAACCAACCTCACGATCAGAGGACAACCGCTCTACCACCTGAGCCACAGTCGTAAAAGAAAAGTGTAAAAGTACTATGTAAATTAAAGGTACTGTTAAAAAGAGACATAAACCTGCCTAAACCAGAGTAATAAATTAGAAAACAGTTTAAACAACAACATGTATTTTAATGTAGAAAGCAGGTCACCAGTGGAAACAACAGACCTCTCTGAGAATTCAAGGTCTTGTTTCTAACCAGGACGGTTTTCTGTCTCCAGCTGATCAGGTGAACGGAGCTCCGGTCTCCTCTCAGCCCGCTGACTCCACCTCCACCTCCTCGGACACGGAAAGAAAAGAAAACCTGGACGACGGAGCGGCGGAGGACGAGGACGGAGAGCCGAACGCCGCCGAGCTGAGGCGCCGCCGCCTCCGTAAGCTGGAGACGGCGACAGCGTCGTCGTCGTCGTCGTCACCCCCGCCTCCAGACAACTGATCCGTGTGCTGACTCAGACATATCGCTGTGGACCAACAGGAACTCTGAGCTGACATACGGTTGCTTTGGTTCTTTCATTGCCTCTCCTCCTTGTGGCTCTTCGCCCTCCACAGGCGCAGGTGTCTGTCTGTGTCGAGTCGGGCTGTCGGAAGACTCTTCTGGACCGTTTTGGTGTCAGAAAGCAATAGCACCTCTTTTTTTTTTTTGTTGTTTTGTTTTCGATTTCACCGCCTTTTTTTCCCCCCCTTAAATAAAGGAGGACTACTGCAATAGTCGTGCTGCAGGTGTTTGTAAGTTTAATCAGACGGGAGAATGAGTTCAGACCCAGTCGTGGTTGATCGATGTGACAGAGGCGGTGTTTGGATATTTGTTTGCTAGTTTTACTGTCGGTGACGTCTTTGCCTGCACTTTTTTTTTTTGTTTTTGTTTAATTCAGCTGTCTTAAATATAAAGGTGGTCCCACTCGCCACATAAACATGTTACACAGCACGTGGATCAGTACCGGATCCAGTGAATTCAAATCAAAAGAAACCAATCAATTTGTTTCTGCGTTCTTTTCTTTAACATGCATCTCTGTTCTGTTTCCGGATTCTCAACATGCTGCCACTGCAGACACTGTAACATACTGATTTATTTGAATGTGTACATACTGTATAAAGAGTTTTAATAGGATGATCTGTACATAATGCAGAATAAACTGACTCAAATGGCAGCGGCACAGCGCGTGTGTTGGTTTGAATGTTTGCAAACTGAGGCGTTCGGGTGAAGCTCGTGAGCTGTGAGCAGTTTTCATCATTGTCGTCTTTAAATTAGAGATTAGGGATGCAAAATGAAAACTCACTGTTGCTCCATAAGACAGTAAATCTTTTAGGACGTCACTTCTTTCACAGCGAGGTGATTTAATGTTTGACTCTTGGCACTTTTTACTTGATATAAACGACGGGTTTTGAGATTCAGTGCTCCGGTTAGTTACGGTACTCTAGTCTAAAGCTTAGTTTCATAGATTAAAAATGTTTGAACAAGATCTGAAATTTAGTTCTTGAAAACTTTCTGTGCCACATTTTTAGTGACTCATACCTAGACATGGGCTGCACGGTGGCTCAGTGGTTAGCATCATTGCCTCGCAGCAAGAAGGTCGCCGGTTTGCGTCCCAGTGAGGACATCCGGGATCTTTCTGCGTGGAGTTAGCATGTTCTCCCCGTGCAGTGTGGGTCCTGTGATAGACTGGTGACCGGTCCAGGGTGTCACCTACCGTCACCCTGAGTCAGCTGAGATAGGCTCGAGACCCTGGTGAGGATTAAGCAGTATATAGATAATGGATGGATGGATACCTAGACATAGCCAGAGTTCAGAAGAGCTCAGCATGTAACTTTACCTTTACTGATGATGCTCAGTTTTTTTTTTTAGGGTACTTTGGTTTTTGTTTGCAGTCTACACACTGATCAGCCAAAACATTAAATCCAGGGACAGGCACCATGAATGACACTGATCATATCTTTACATCATAATGTTCTGCTGGGAAACCTTCTATCCTTTCTTTAATCTGGATGTTACTTTGGACCGAGCACACTTGCAATAACTGCTCAGTTACGACTTGAGGAACACAGCAAAGAGCTTTAGGCGCTGACCTGGTTCAAAGTCACAGTGTGATCAACCACGGAGGCCCAACTCATGAACCTACAGGACCCTGAGGAGCTGCTGCCAACATGATTCACACCTGTTTGGCGTCACAAAGTGGATAAATGTCAGGCAGGTGGTTTCAATGCTGCAGCTGATGAGTGTCAATGAGGAAGCAGAAGTATGCTGCACCTGAGGTAAATAAAGTAGGTTTGTGTCAACAAGGAAAAAAAACAACAGACCAAACTGTATGATGCAGCTGAGCAGTTGGTTAAATTAAACATTTACATTTACAGTCCCACCACAAGATCCACTTTAGTCTCTGTTCTGGAACTTTACAGAACGCTGCAGGAATTTCCTCAGTTGTCTGTAAGGACGACATACCAGCAGAGAGACGAGAAACGTGAGTAAGAAGAGAATGACATGCAGTAAATGTCTGCCGCTAACCACCTGGATATCAGTTCACTCCAGCATCTGTAGTTTAAACTTCCTCTCTGGTCATTGATTCATCTCCTGAAGACTCATCTTGGTGTATTAGACTCAAATATTTAGAAGTTTTTAGGTGTGATTTGGTATTAATTGTGTAGGAACATGACAATTCAAAGATTTTTCATATAACTGGTGTCAAACTTGAGGATTATGAGGAACAGAAAATAAAGTGAAACTAATAATGCAGATGAAAAGTTACAAGCAAAAGTAAAAGTAGTAGATATTCAACCGTGCCATGTTTTGAAACTAAAAGCAAATTCACACAAACATTCTGCTTAGCAACAGACGGAGACGTTCGTTTTGATGTTTTTATTGGTTTGAGGTTTGCAAAGTCAGTGTCTGTCATTTGGTGACTCACTATGAGGAATGTTCTCACCACAAAAAAAAAAAGAAAAAAAAGAAAAAGCCATTACGGAGAGCAACATTAGATTGTTTTTAAGCTACAATTAAAGGAAGAACCGTCGTTATAAAATAAGTTAAACATTCATCAAAACACAATTATACAGGAAAGGAATCAAAATCAGCTTTTTAAAATAACAGAACTTTGTACAAACAAACCAGAGGAACGCCCGAAAAGAAAAAAAAAAGTGCAGTGACACCTGCATCATCAATGTCGAGGTCTGAGATTAGAAAACAAGAGATGTAAAGACAATTATTAAATGTGTCTACAGACGTTACTGGTCCTGAAAAAATATACTTTGCTACAAATCTCAAAAGCTCGTTTGTATTTGAGTCTGTTCCCGACACACTCGAGGCTGTAAAACGACATCACTTCACGTGTATTAAGGAATGCAGACGAGGTTAAATGTGCCATATTTAGGAATTGTAAGAGCTGTAAATCCACAGTGGGGTAATTACTGACATAAAACAAGCGGACAAAGTGTCGAAATCTCAGCTTAACCTTCATAAGAAGCTGGCTGAGAACAATATTTGCCCGTTCAAGTCTGGCAGAGCTTTTGCCCACCAAGTTTGATCCCTTTTTTCAGCAACACGTTTCAAATATACTCTTTGTTTTAAAACTACAAGGTGCATCGTCACTGTGGAGGTGATTTCCTGAGGTTTTCAGTGCAAATCTGCTCACAGAGGGAGGTACTACTGGCTGGTAGCTGTGTGTGGGTCGTCCTGTCAGGGGGGGGAACGCGGTCGAGGACACCCGGAGAGTGATCAGTTCTGAGGGGTGGAGTAGAAAGAGTGGTGCTGGTCGGGAGGATTGCTGGAGAACAGGAGGGGAGCCGTCTCCGAGCCGTACCAGCTGGAAAGAAGAAATGTAAAAGATGAAGGATGTGTTACCTGAGCTGTACCACCAAGCAAGTTTGACATATTCAAAACCTGAAACCTCAGTAAGAGACAGCAGGTACATAAAAAAGGGCGTTCACAGCGTCGTGTGACTCACGAGTCAACAGGTCGTTTTATTGGAGCGTTACCAGAAACATAAACATTTATGACGGTGAAAAGCGTTGCTACTGCAAATGATGCAGGCCAGGAATGACGGTCGTAAACTGTTCATCGTATGTTAATATATTTATTGTACCCATAAGTGCAGCTGCTTATTAGAGCTATTAAACGTTTACATATTTAAACATGATGCTGCATTAAAGAGCATTTAGGTCTGACACTGTCCCATAAGGCAGGATATCACTTTAGCCTTTGGCCAAATCAAAGTGAAATTAATGTTAATAATTGAATCTTTTCTGTCATAAATACCAGTAAAAAGATGTATTTTCTCATCTGTGTTTTATCAGCTGCAGTATCAGCAGTGTAAACAAACTGAGCAGCAAATCAGGACCAAACATAGAAACATATTTATGTGATTTCTGCATCCCAGCTGAATGCATGTATGTTCCCATTATGTACTGTAGCTACACGGCTTCATTCAGTGGTTCTAGTGTTTGCAGATATAACACGTTGTCTCAGCTAAGAATCCGTATCGCTCAGAGATTTGTCAGGAATCTATCTGGTTAAAGTCAGACACTGCTTACAGCTGATTTAAATCTGAGACTCTGAACATATAACCTGCTCCAGATCAGGTTGGTGCCACAGCATCAGCTACCATGGAGATGTAGCAGGTTAAACGAGAGCCACCTTCATGCAGACTTTAGGCTCAACATACCTGCTAACCCGTCGTACAGCCCTCTGCTCTCACAACATCAGAACATAGTGCAGCCACTTTAAACATAAAGACCTGAGCTTATGAACTTTGGAACTGAACTCTTTGGGTTTTGTTTCCTTTGCTGACGTGACTGATCATCTCGTCTCTACCTGGCAGCTGAACGTGTTTGTGATGAAGGTACCTTGATTGTGAATGTGAGTTGTGAGCCCACGGAGCAGGAATGTCCTCGTCGCTGGCTTGAGGGTCGTCAAAGAAGTAAGGACGAGGCAGGACCCTGTTGTTGACGGCCAAGCTGCTGCTCTGTGAGAACGAGACACAACGCTGGTGAACAAGATGTTTGCTGCTAGCTTAGAAAACATCTCTGCTGCTCTGATGTTCACCTCCTGAGCAGGCCGGCGGACTCTGAAGATGAGGATGAGCAGGCCGGTTGGGAGCAGCTCCCAGACGAAGAGGATGGCACCGAAGGCCAGGTAGCCGCGGTCGCCCAGTTCGTTGCGTAAGTCAGCCTAAAAACAAACAAACAAACAAACACAGGCAGAGTTAATCTTACAACGTAGTGGAATGTTTCCTCTTTATCGTGATCAACCATCAGGACCTGCATGTTTTGAGAGATGAAAATCCAGATAATCAGTACTGGCAGTCTGATCCAATGCGAACACTGAGCTAGAACAGCTGCAGACATCATGTATATGTAGTTGTGATTATTACACTACTTTCTAGTCCACTGGAGGACTCTGTTCCATACATGCACAGTAGATCAGCCGATGTGAATTAAAAGTTATATACACTTGTATGAGTTTCAGTGACTCCAGTAACTCTTAATTTTCTATGTATGCACGCCTGACACGTGTCTTTGTCACATAAAAATGCATTTTGGCTCTTTCATAAATTAATAATAGATCTTATGGAAATAAGACAACATCTGCTGTGCAGTGCTTCTTTCTGGTTCAACATCCTTCGGCCATTTTCACCGTAACTGGGCTCTTTTGGGAGCCGTCCACGAGCTTCTTGCTGCATCTTTGACCTCACCTTGTGACAGAACTGGTACAGTTAAACTAAATGTGTTGGCCTTCTTGCACAGACTTGTTTCTTCAGCACAGTCTACAGTGTTGATGGAGTGACTTTGGGGAGACCACTATAAAACCTTAATTCTTGCCTGATTTAGCCGGTTCTTTGCCACTGTTGATGTGTGTTTGCTGAAACACGCAACTGCATCTAGGATCTTCTGGCTGATAATTTTAGGTAATCCTCCTTCTTCATTGTTCCATTTACTTTGTGTAAAGCACCAGTTCTAATGACAGCAAAACAACCCCAGAGCATGATGCTGCTGCCACCATGCTTGGTGGTTGGTTTGGTGTTCTTCTTCTACTTTTCTCCTCCAGACATATTTCTGGTTACAGTAGCCAAATAGCTCTTTTTTTGTTGTTTCATCTGACCACAAAACTTCCCTCCAGAAGTCACACTCACAGACTTGGGGAGACGACAGATTTACATGACGCATACTTGAGGGAGTGAACAGTGTAAGATCAGTGTTTCAGCCTTAATACTTTTTCAGCCCCTGATTTACCTGGTCGGAGACATTGTACCAGTCAAAGTTGAAGGACTCCACCCGATGGGTCTGGGACAGAAAGAGGACTGTCAGGTTGTAGCAGGCTCGGCTGGCAAACAAGAAGATCACTGCTATTCCCAGTGCTGCTGTCCGACACACTGTGGTCCCCTGGTGGGGTGGAAGAGACACTGTTAGCCTGGAATACCATCAGAGCTACAGAAGTTCTTACAGGGCTTCTCTAGTGATTTGAATTGCACAAGACTCATTCTAACAAAAGAAGCGTCTAAACAAATACAGCAGTAGCAAACCAACATATTCCAACTTTGCTGAATCCTACAGTTTCCATAATGTATCTTAACACTACCCTGCATTAGATCCACTCAAGTCCTACAAACGCTACACTATGAGATAACCCTGATGGTGTCACAGGGGTAATTTTCTGAGACCTGACAAAGCTCCTACAGAGCCACAGAAGACATTACACGTCTGTTTTTACAGGCTGGACTGTAAGGACTAATTAGGTATAAAAACTCAGCAGAATGCTCCTTTAACTTGTATTATAGCTGGATTTTCATTATCAACACTCGACACACCTTGCTGACCAGGTAGGGGCTGGTGGAGCGCGAGTGTCGGGTCAGGAGCAGCAGCACGACAGCCAGCAGCACCGCGTCCAGGATGAAGAGCAAGTCATTGACTAGCACTCGAACCAGGACTAGATTCCAGGTCCGGTCTCCTGCCCCTCCTCTGCTGCCTCGGTCGCCGAGAGCTGCACACACCACGTTGATGGTGAGGAAGATGGTGCTCAGAGCACCGTACATACACCGTGCCAGCCACCTGATGAGGACACGGAGCGAGTGATAAATGGATTAGTAACAGTCGTGAACGATGCATGAGAGATTTTCACTGCAGTGTGAAACTTACAGTCGTTTGCCCACTTCGGAGCTGTAAGTCTCTCTTGCTTTGAGTAATACCTGTGGTACAAGAGAGAAATAAGTCACCTGAGTTATAGTACAGCTGGTATATCTCAGCTTTAAGAGAGTGAACCCTGCCCCATCTCGCCCAGCCTTACCTGAGTGAAATACAGGCTAATAAGGCTAAGAGTAAAAAACTGCAAACACACAGGGAAGCAGTAGAGCAGCCAGAAGACTGCAACAGGTAGGTGGTTGGCTTGCAGAGCGTTATGGAAGTAAAAAGAGAAGAGCGTGGTGCGAAGGGCAGCCCACAGCAGGCAGAGAAAGAGAAAGACACTCTGGTAGCTCCATCTCTTGTGTTTGTAGAGGTAGAGAAGCCACAGCTGCCCGTAAACCACCAGGAAGAGGCCGGCGTACAAAGCGGTGTAGAGGATGGTGAAGCCAAGCTGCACCGACGGGGCGACGGCCGGATGCAGGGGGATCGGTGGAGGATGAGTGGAGGAGTTGGGAGCCGTGACCGGAGCCTCCATTGGCGTACTGAGAGGTTTAACTAAATGTCATCATCCCAGAGAAACTGATGAACCTTATTCACTCCACCCCCTCTACACGGGAGACCTGAAGGCAGAAACAAATTCACAAGAGATCAGTCTGTCATTAACAGAACACTTAAGCAATACGGGGGACAAGCATCGGTGTTTAAAACACTAATATGATCAGATGATACATCCTGTGAGACCATGTTAAGTTTTTGTTTGTCTAAATTTTGCATCAGTAGGACACCTTCATTTGTCAGCTGTTCAAGTTGTGATGATGTGGAGCACCGGTCAAAGGTTTGGACTCATCTAATCATTCAAATAACTTATCCAACTCACAACTTACTTCAACTCTATTATAGTTTATAGGCAAATGTTTTACTGTTCAACACATCTACATTAGTCTATCTTTTCTAAGCTGGAAAGCTTTTTTTTTTTATTAAGATGAGCTTTAATAAGCCCCAAGACTAAGTTAAGTTGTTGTAGTTGCAAAGATGTTGGAAGCTGTACAACTACATTTAGCTAAAATTAAAATTCAACAGAATGAGGACTAATTCAGCTGGATGGCTACAGCTTTCTATGCTGCTCAGAGGAGCACTGTTTTTTTTAAATTATTATTAGTCTCTGTAGGGGGTGTGAGACATTCTTTAACATTAAAAGGGAGTTTTGACAACATCTTCCTGTCCACTACTTTATGCAGATTGAGCAGCTCCACCCCCACAACAGAGCCAGCCTTCTGCAAAAGTTCGTTCAGTCTGTTGGTGTCATCCACCCTTGGGTTTTTCCCCCCAGTAGACTCCAGGGTAAATAACTGGCCATCACAGATTTGCAAGACAGTAAAGCGACAAAAACGTGATGATCTGATAGGGTGTGATGCAAATTAAACTTCCCAGCTCTATGTAAAGTACCTAAACTTAGCTCAACCCTAAACAGCTACACATTATTGCTGCAATAATACTCATCCAGAAACATCACATGCACTTTACGATAAGTACTTTCACTTTTGATAGATATTGCTGAAGATACTTTAAAGAAAGATTTTGAATGCAGGACTTTTATTTGAAGTAGAGTATTTTCACAGTGTGTTGTTAATACTCTGATTACATATTACTCTATTACTTAGCACATCTTTCCCCATTGGGTAGCCACTTAGAAAATATCACCACATCACAATCAACTTCAGGCATATATAATAACTTTTAATTTATGTCGTACCTTTATACTTTTCTTTTGCATATATATAGTATTTATTAGATCTAGATTTCTAGATTTATTGCCTGTCTTGTTGTTGTTGTACCACAGTTTCATTCACCATGCCATATTCCTTGTGTGTGCGAGCTCACGTGGCAATAAAAAGCTTTCTGATTCTTATAAAAGCTGCAATATCCATATATTAAATATTATGAACCTCCTTTTATATCTCTTCTATTGCTGTCCTGTTTTTCTGGGTGGTGGAGGGGAAGTCTAACAACAGCGCTGACTTTCATTTTCAGCTGCCTTATTTAATATTTCCGAACAAATTTGCAGAAAAATCGCGCTTATAAATGAGTTCACATCAATATAACATCAACACTGTTTTGTTATCAAGCTACCACGATAAATGGTAGGTTTACTGTCGTCAATCTTTTTTTTTTATTAATTTGAATTATAGTTACACTGACAGAACACGTCATGGGGGATTTGCTGACTGCTAGTCACAAGACTGGATATAAAACCATTAAGCACACTCAGCACTGTCAGTTTCGACAAACAAATAAACAACACACATATTTCAAAGCTTCGACAAGGTAACGCGTGTTTGATTTTACGATACTGTCAATGCGTACATGCTCCTACATGAGTACATTTCAGTGACCTTTGAAGCTCAGTTCATCGCAGCTCTTTAGGTTACTTTGGTCTTTGGAACATAAACAAACGGCTCAGTTTAACTTCAGCTAAGCTAACGCTGTAAGCTAACGCCAACATTCAGCATTTCTACTCTCGCCTATCAGTTGTACTTCACTCGCTCACAAAAGTAAATAAATATAAAGGTTGTCAGTAGTAATCAAACGACAATTACAGACCTTCTCTCAGGTGAAGATGAAGCTCCGGGATCTGCAGCCGACGATGTAAATCCCTCACTTCCGTGTTGTGTCAGTGCGTAACGTCTGGTGGGCGGGGCCAACGGTCGAACTCCCGCGGGCCAATCAGCGACGACGGGAAATCGCGGTCACTTCAATTTGTTGTTTGTGTTGTTTGGCGCATTCAAATCAGATCAAACGTGCAGGTTGTTTACAGGCACCAAGAGCGGCCTTTTAGTAACTCTAGCAGCTGTTTAAAGCTAGTTTAGCTCGGTATTAGCTGGTTACCGACACAAGCGGGCTGCTTCTCAGAACCCGCACCGCAAACTGCACTTTACGCTCCGCTCCGTCCGTTAAAAACCTCGTGTCACGAAGCTGCTGCATTATTAAAGATGCCGATGATACTGCGGTCCCGGAGGTCCATCCACCCGACTCAGGCCCCGGCGCTAGAGTTACCGGAGCAAGACGCTGTGCCGGCGACACCGAGAAGGTCGACCCGCCTGCGAGGGAGCCTTACGTACGAGGTGGGTATTTTTATTACTCAGTCTTTCCGCCTCCTCTTCCTCCGCTGCTCACAACTTCAACAGCAGCCACGTAGCTCGCTCGCTAACGGCAGCGACGTTAGCAGGCTAACCCCGACAAATAGACTTCAGGAGGGACTAGAAAGGCACCGAACTGCTCCCAGCTTCATTATTACTACCGCCACAGTCATTTTAACTTATTTAATGTTTGCTTGAGTTAACCGTTTAGCATAAATTAACTGTTAGGAGCTAGCCAAAAAAAACTGCACGGTGAGCGTGCACACCTAGTCCAGCACAAAGCTAATTAACGGTACCGAGCGAAGCAGGGCATCATGGTAAGTTTTATGACTTTCAGGGGCAGAGTATATGTAAAAATGCCTACTTTTTACGTACATATTGCTTTATTTTAATTATGTCACTGTCACTGCTAAGTTAAAACCCAAACAAAGGTGTGGAAGTCGCTCTTACATGTTGGGATGACTACAGCTTTACTACAATGCAGTGCGCCTGTTCTTAACTAACACTGTACATGTTGTTGTGGTCCCATCAGGAGACAGATGAGTCAGAGTCTGAGTCCGTCCACAGCGAGGGAGTGATGGAGACACTTCACAGACCCACTGCAGAGCTGGAGGAGGAGGAGGAGGAGGAGGAGGCTGCTGAGGAGGCACATCTAACGGTAAAGTCACCTTCCAGTCCTCCAGTAAACAGTCCTGTAGGTGTCAGAGGTTTGTTCAGGAGAGGCAGGAAGAGCAGATGTACCAGGAGGCCTGGGTGTGGTGCAGCCTGGTGGTGACAGGAGTAAAGCACAGTGACTGCAGCATGCAATCATCACCAGGAAATATTGGCAGGGGAGTACGGAAGTGTCTTGATCTCCTTTTATTTGCTTACAACGAATCAGGGTGAGTCAAACATTAAACCCGTGAGTAGGTGAGACAGATAGACATTTATTGTCATATGCGCAGCATGAAAACCAGCAGTTTAACACTGGGCAATGAAATTGTCTCGTTTGCACACTCCCATATACATAATAAAGAATATAAATATATGTATAAAAACAAACAAACAAAAAATAAAACAATATAATATAAATAGATACAAAGGACTAAACTAAGGTGCATATAGACTGTTTACAAGTAGTGGCATTATTGAGGTTATGTAGCAGCGGATAAACATTTAAAGTGCACGGTGCCTGGTGACACACGTTAACTGAATTGTACATTGTTATGGTCTAAGTCTAAGGTTATTTTAGTAATACACAGGAGAGCATAGATCAATAATAACTATTTGATTTAGTCAGGTAAATGTGTATGCTATGTATAATATTGTAGGCTATTAACCTTTTGTATTTAAACTTAAATTATATATTAGATTGTAAGGTTTTAATCTTAACATTTAAATGAGTATTTTATTTATAATATTCTGGGGTCTCAACCTTTTTTAGAATAGAATAGAATAGAATAGAATAGAATAGAATAGAATAGAATGTCTTTATTCTCACTATACACATGTACAATGAGATTGAGATTTATTTATATAAGGTGAATCTGTATTTTAAATAGTTTTGTTAATCTTAACCATAATATGTAACTCAGTCAGATGAATTAGTACTTTTTATGGATAACATTGTTTGGTCTCAATGTCAATATTTAAATTATGCAGGTGAACTTATATAATAAATAATGTAGTCTTAGCCATAACATTTAAACCTGTTAGGTATATGTGTAAAGTCAATCTTATTTCTCTATTGGAAAGCACATTGACTCAGTGCCAGTTGTTTTAAATGTGCTGTATCAATAACAGTGACTTGATGTGACTTAATATTTGTTTTTATCATGACAAAGCCAAGAAGCCATTAAAAAAAACTGAAATTCAGTTTCAAAACAATAAACTTATCAAACAAGTTCATTTATGCGGCACCTTATCATACACAGAGGTTAGCAGAAATGATTTACATGCAGACTTAAAAAAAAGATAGATTAAATAATACATAACATGGAATCAAAATGGAGGTAATAAATTAGTCAAAAACCACGTAGACTTGTATAAAATACATTTGATAAAGAAAAAGTATATATATATATTTTATTTTTAAGTAACAATGCAGCTCATTCAATGCTAATGTTTTCCTATTCTTTTACATTTCTTTGCAAGTACAAAATATCACACTTATGGATAAAAGGGGTTTTAAAACTCTAATTTTAGGGATCTGGATCAAAATGTTTGCTTACATCATTTTTAGAAAACGACTACTGGCTGTTATCTGGTGATTCGATTTTTCTATGTTGGTATTTACCTTAAAAACCAGGTGTATTTTAAAACATTTAAACAAAAACAAAATAAATCCTCTGAAGAAAAAGGAGCAAAGAATCGTACATTAATATTGCTGGCAGACATGCAGCTGCAATCACACATAGCATAAATCAAATGAAACACATTCCTGGTAACTGGCAGCTACACGCCACGATTCGTCGTTTGTTTGGAGGACGACAAAACATGTTGCACCGACAGCATCCACAGACCGGATGACTGTCCACGCCCTGCTGGAACACTGAACCACCGTCGTCACGGGATATCTATGTATTTATGAAAATCTGCTTTGAAGCTGGAAGCATTGTTCAGCTCTGACTGCTATCAGAAGGGGAAGTTATATGATGCTGTTACCACGGTAACATTCATGTCAAGTTTGGAAACAAATATTGACAGTCTCTGATATTGACTGTTGATGTCTGTGTCAGTTCTGTACTAGTTACTAGAGCTGATTTGAATAGGTGTGGCTCCTCCAGCCTCTTTGTGCCACAGACGCCTCTCCAGGTAATACGTGGTTTTATAGTTTTGTTGTTAGCCAGTGTTGAGACAAAAAGACTTGAAGATATTAGGTTAGGAAGTGTTTGTTGATGTTTAACTGCTAGCTTGTGTGCAAAAGGAGTGTGTTACCACGATGCTGTTCAGAGTCACTGGTTAAATCAGGTGTACAAATGCTGAGATGCATGTTTTGTCTTCTCCAGGAGCTGAAGTATTGTAGTGTTGTGTTGGACCGTCTCCAGGCTGAAGACAAAGCAGCCAGAAAAGAACTCGAGGACAAAGAAGACATGAACCGTAAAGGTGAGAAACGCGTCTCCAGAATCCCTACTTTCCATAAACGACCCTCTGGCGTCGCCCCGAACACGGAGCTGCCTGTTCCCAAAAAAGATCCTCCGGTTGCTCAGCCTCCTGAGAAACCTGGAACTGTGGAAGCTTCGAAGTCCAAGTCACCCGAGGCCAGAGATACGGCTCTCCCCCTGCCGTCTATCCGCGTCCCCAAAATCGGCTTTGAAGCTCCTCCAGGGTTCGGCGGCGCAGAACAAGCAGCTTTAACAGCTCCCAGCTCCATACCTACAGCACCCAAGAGCTGGAGTTTGTCTGAGTCTGTTCCTTACCCTGTCATGACGGCGAGCCCCCGGCCTGCCCTCAGACCACAGCAGGGCTCAGAGCGAGAAGAGCGCAAAATCTTACAGACTGAAGCCAACACCATCCCTGATGACCCTGTAGGTCACCTTCCACACGAGGGCTCCCTCAGCCAGAAGCCGCATGAGGACCCAACAGAGAAGTATGGTGCTGGAGATGAAGGCGAGATTACCCTCCCTGACTTCAGAAAGTCTGCAGAGATGGCAACTGATGTCAGCGAAGTGGATGCTGCTTCCCTCCCTGCCTCTGAAAAGTCTGCAGAGATAACAGCCGAGGTCAGTGAAGTGGATGCTATTATGGATGAAGAACCACCGTGGGAGACAGAACCAATGAATGCAGCTGAACTGAAGGACAGCAGGTCTTCATCGGATGCTGAATATGAGGATGAGGATTTGGCAAGTGACAAATACAAGGGTCAGGATTCAGGTGGTGTGAAGGAGCAGCGTGAACCACTGATAATCCAATCAGAGGCTCCAAGTGTTGCAGAGAAAAGAGCCAATGTTGATGAATCCAGTTCTCCTGTAGCATCAGAGAAGCCTGTTAAAGTGACATCACACAAGTCGGCTCAGGTGAGTCATGCTGCTTTTTATGACTAGTAGCTCCCACTGGAATTTGTCACGCAGTTTGTTTTTCTTTTTTTTAGTGGTCTCAGCCAAGTCAGTGATATTTAAAGGAATTCGGCCACACCCTGCAGTAATAACTCTGGAATGCAACACTGTCCTCAGCTGTGTTTTGACTTATGGGTGGGATGCAGCCCGTGTGTGCGTCTTTAAAGTTAAAATTCTACTTGTCTCGTCTAATAGAGGTCAGGATGTTCCAGTTTCACCCTCTTCTGCCTCCTGCCCACCACCTTGCTGCTGCTCGGAGGGTTCGGTCAGCACGTTTGGCACTACGGGCTTCCCATGTCTGTGGCTCAGCTCACGGCTCAGCTGGAGCTGCACTGGCTGGAGGGCTTTGGTTTAGTGCCAGAGCCGTGTAGCACTGACTGTCGGTAAGCAATGTCAACAAAGCGTCCATCTCTGTCTCCTGTTTTGTTCTGTGGGGTGGTTAGCTCTGACGAAAATAAGAATTTGTGATATTCAGCTTGTCGGAGCTCACAACAAGAACATTCTGGAGGCGTCATTTACAATAAATAATTGGCGCCATCTGTAAAACATCACGTGTAAGACATTCCTGACCCTGTTTTGATGAGCACATGTCTCTGTTGTTCAGAGTGCGCCTGGTGGAAAGCATTCCTGCCGGTCTCTACCAGTCCTGTCCTTCAAGACAGACCATCGCAAACAGCTGGCTGCATCTGCTGGACGAGGCCAACAGCTCCGTCCACATCGCTGCTTTCTACTTCACACTGCGGGACAGAGATCTGCAGCTAACTGAGTCGTCCGACTATGAGGTCAGTGCACAGGTCTCTCGATGTAACACACCAGGTGATGCAGCCTCTGATTTGTGTGGTTTTGTTCCTGCGTCGTGTTTTGCAGGGAAGACACGTCTTTGAGAAACTGAAGCAGCTTGAGTCCAAAGGTGTGAAACTTCAGATTGCCGTCAACGCCCCCCAGACATCAACACTAGACACTGCAGAACTGGCTGCAACAGGTGAGGAGATCGCTTTGTTGCACAGTTTGATTTTATGAACAGGTGAGCTGTGAGGGGTCTCTGTGTTAATCTTCCATGTTGTGTCCTGCAGGTGCCGAGGTCAGAGAGGTGGACCTGCAGGCTGTGACCGGAGGCATCGTCCACACCAAGCTGTGGGTGGTCGACCAGAAGCACTTCTACGTGGGCAGCGCTAACATGGACTGGCGCTCTCTAAGTCAGGTATGGCAATGGAGAAAAAAGGCTTTTATTTCAAATATGTCCTCATCAAATCTCTGTTTTTAGCCGAGCATCTAGCTGGCATGTTCCCTAGTAGTCATTACATCAGACTTATAATTGGAGGGAAAAGATGCGTCACTCTGAGTTAGAGTACATTTCTGTCCAGTACATGTCAGAACTGATGTGTCATTGAGTTTATAGCATCAGCTCCGCTCCTTCCTAAAGGATCTTTCCTACAGACAAAAAGAGTTTGAAGGTAAATGAAACTGACAGTGGTACAGTGAGGCAGCAGTTTCTCTTTTTTAAGGTGGGCTGTGCACTTGATTACATAATAAACTTAATTATCTGTGACTGCATAGACTGTAGAATTCAAGAATTTCAAGAACTGCCTTCAGAATTAATAATGTTTTATCTTAATCTCTACTTTTTATTAGTGTCTAAAGTAATTTATGTATATCCTGGTAGTCTTGAGCTTCCAGCGACTCGTACAGCTCTTAAGTTTAGAACGGTTGAAACACGTGCATGGAGTTTGGTTCTTTCATAGATTTATTATAGGTCTTCTTAGTTTCCAAAAACGTTGATTCACAAATCATTTAAACATTTGTTTAACTAACATCAGGACTAAGACGATGCTGACGCAGGATGTGATTTGGTTTGTATTTGGTTACTCCTGCTATACACAACATTAATCCCCCACGCCGCCATGATTTCCAAAAAGAATTTCACATTTTGATTGCATGTTTTTCCTGGCTTAGAAGAAGCATGAATGGTCCACATGCACTAAAGACAATGAGTCTGTGTTCCTCTGTTTGACAGAAGTCCAGGTGTTTTCCTCTTATTTCCGAGAATTTGATTAACAAAAAATGTCCATCATGCTTGAGTAAATGAAACCCTGAGTATTTCCCTTTGGTAGATCTCTTTGGCAGCCAGCCAGAAATTCATCGATGTAGGAAAAACCCTGGATTGGTCAAACCACACAACAGTTTTCCACTTTATCTCACCCATACTGGATGAGCTTGTGCCCAGAGGAGACCACAGCATTTCATTTATCTGAGGTTTTGTCTTTACATGGTAGAGTTGCCCAATGACTGGAAATGTTCCTGAGCTCATGCTGTGATCTACAGAATCCAGTGTGATTGTAGCGTAGCGCCGCTTTAGGGACTGAAGATCACAGATGTTGAATATTCATTTTTAATAATTTTACAGTGGAAATAGTAGAACATTATTACTAAGTTATTAAACTGTTTGCCCGCAGCGTGGTGAACCTCTCAACATCTTTACTTCTGAAACACTCAGCCTCTTATGGATGCTCCTTAAACACTCAGTCATGTTGCAGACCTGTTGATCGTTAACCTAATTAGTTGTGACTTGTTCTACCAGGTGTTTTTTTTTAAAGACTCCACACATTTTCCAGTATCTCGTTGCCCCTTCCAACCTTTTTCTGTTTCAACTTTTGTTGTCTAAGTCCCGTTTTCTATTAAATATAGGGTTTAGATAATTTGCAAATCATTCTGTTCTGTTGTTTGTTGTATGCCAATTTTATATATTTTTTCAATTTTAAATGGTTCTTTGCCTGCAAAAGTCTTTACTGTAAGTAGAATAGATTAAAGTCATTTTTATTGTGATTGCAGAATGTTCAACAAAACCAAGCATCCAAGTCCTTTCAGTGCATTCACAAAATCAGACAATGTTACTTCAATGTACAGTAAGAAATGTGCAAATATAAAAATCCAGTAGAAAAATATGATCTGCAAATGTAGTCTATGAAATGGTGTCATAGCCTAATGCTGTGAGGATATGAAGTATATTAAGGACTATGCTGAACTTTGGGATATTTCACATTGATGAAAATGTGCAAAAATGTGATCAATTAGGATGATTATTCTGGTTTTAGTGTAACTCAACTGTGCTGCTTTAACATCAGCTGGTTTCCAGGTTTTACTCGTTAATAGAGATAAAGTCTGTGATTGTGGCTGCAGCAGAATTGATGCAGTCTGTGTGTGTGTTGTGTTGAACCCAGGTGAAGGAGGTGGGTCTGTCGGTGCAGAACTGCAGCTGCCTGGCTCAGGATGCTCTTCGGATCTTTGATGTTTACTGGAGCATCGGCGGCTTGAACAACGGTTCTCTGCCACCGTACTGGCCCGCTCGGCTCTCTGCTCTGTCCAGTGCTGAAAACCCGCTGCGCCTGAAGTTCAACGGAGTCCCTGCTCGGGTTTACCTGTCTGTAAGTTCAACACGACTCCGTGACCTTCCTTGAAAAGAAATGATTTAGAATGGACTTTATTATTGAGGTTGCTTTGTAATGTTGATTATTGTGCATAGTTTAAATTCTCAGGCAGATATGAAACAGCTTAAAGATCATCATGTGGTATGTTGTCTTGCAGAGTGCTCCTCCTCAAATCTCAGCCCGCGGCCGCTCTGATGATCTGTCCACCATCTTATCTGTCATCAGTGATGCCCAGAAGTTCATTTACATCTCTGTCATGGACTACCTTCCGCTGTCTCAGTTCACAGAGCCAGTCAGGTACGACCCAGTCACAAAGAGCCACCTGTGTTTGGTAGGACCGACTGATGTGGGTTTTTTAGGGCAGACGCCGGTAATCAAGACCTATACCATTGAATGTTATATTTTGAAGGTATGTGACAGCAGGGAACCTGTCATTCATAACGAGGTTTCTTCATTAATAAGGATTACTATAACTGAATATGTACCAAGCAGTAGAAGAAATGGTATCAGAGGGTTACAGGACGACAGAAGGCTCTGCTCTGGTTACTGTCAGGCCAATATCTGTTTGTCTCCTGCAGTCAGTCTGCTGTCCTTTTCTGTTTTCTTAATCTTTACCTGTTCTATCACTCTTATTTCCACTAAGACCCACATATAAAAGAAGCTACTTTCCTGATTTGTGGCAACAGATTGTGTTTCCTTATAAGTTTTTACAGGTTGTGTCTCTGCTAGAGAGATGGTGTGTCTGTCAGAGCAGATTACTGAAGTTAGTCTGACTTTAGAAAAATGTTACAGGTTCTCAGTTAGCGTTAGCCACAGGCCTGACAGCTAGCCTCTTGGTAACAGGTTTAACCTCATGTCCGCGGCAGAAAAGGTTCCAGTGACACCAACAAGTTCTGGTATTTTCAGTGTAAAGTGGAAACTGGGCATGCTTGTGAAAGATTGTAGTGTATATTACAATTTCAATAGCACCTGTTACCTTACCCCTACCCTCATCTGTCCTGCTCTGTAAACAGCAGCTTTGAGTGTTAATTGGCTGTTTAATTGTGACATGTAACCATTCAGACAGATACAGAGACACTACAGAGAGAGAACGGCGGCTGCATCACAGCTTAAGTAGCGCTTTTAATTTATAATCGGTTATTAAAGATAACTGATAGCTCTGAAAAAGGCCAAATGTCAGCTTTGATTATCCGTCTATCCCTCGTATTTACAGCTGCACTGTGAAAACTCTGCACATTTAACAGCAGATCAATTCCCAAAATATAACGATGCCTTAACTCTCAGTGTGACGACCTGAATTCTGTCCCTTCATTTGATACAAGCTCCTGAATCACTGTGAACAATGTGACTTCACTAAAAAGGCCGTTTAGTGCCTTGATGTTGACGGTGCTGCACTGTGAGCTGCTGACGGAGTAACTTCTCTAATTAAGATGTACAACAGCTGCTGACTGGCCCCGTTTTAATTCAAATACTGGACACATGCCTGAGTGGAAGAAGTCTGCTGGGATGTACTCAGACTTCTTAGTCATCTCGTCAGACATGTACAGACCAAACAGTACTGTTTTGTTGTTTATACCACACACACTCTGTTTCTTCCCCGGCCGGGAGCACAACAGACATTTTGATATTAACAGCGTCGATCTGTTCCCTGCTGAAGACTTCAAAGTCTGCTGTGGTTTCCTGCTCTCAGGTTCTGGCCCGCCATCGACTCGGGCCTCCGAGCTGCAGCCTGCACCAGAGGGGTGGAGGTCAAACTGATGGTCAGCTGCTGGAAACACTCGCCTGCCGCCATGTTCACCTTCCTGCAGTCCCTGCTGGTGCTCAACAGACCTCCACTGAAATGCAGCATTGAAGTGGTGCGTTTGGTGATCTCATTTCCTTAGTGGCTGAAACGTGGAGCGTTTATCAGACTGATGATGTGATGAAAGTCTGTTTGTTGGTTTCTGCACAGAAAGTCTTCACGGTGCCTTCGACGACGGAGCAGATGAAGATCCCTTTTGCACGAGTCAATCATGCCAAGTACATGGTGACGGACAGAGTGGTCTACATCGGTACGCTGCCAACGTTTACTACATTATTACAACTGCTTTGATCCTTCAAACGTATATATGAATATTAATATCTACGGTGAAGTACAGCTGCTGCCATACTTTGTTCTCTGCTACTTTTCTCAATTGAAGCCTGAGTAAAACTGATTAATGTGTTCTGAGTTTGTCTCGCCACAGAAAACTGTTATTAACCAACTCGCAGATTTTGAGTGATTGAAGAAACACCAAAATTTATAAAGTTAGGCTTCAAAGTTGTGCACAAATCAGCAACATTCTCTGCTCTGAAATGCAAAATAAAACGTTCCACCGGGCAGGAGAGTTTGTTTTAGCCAAACATCTTCCAGTGTAGATGTGTAATATTTTTGGGACTTTGCAGCTGTGGACTAAGTTATCCACCGTAATAAACTGAGCACACGAGGTAGCTTCGACTCCCTGGTGGAGACGTCGAAAAAACTTTAAACTCGTATCACATTGAGATCTGAAGGCCTCATTTAAACGCAGCAGAGTAGGAGAATGAAAGATGTCCGAACAGTAACAAACTAGGAAAAAACAATGAAAGATTAAAAGGCAAAGTTAGTGACATGAAAACATAATTATTGTATTTAGTTTTTATAAGATGTCAGCATATTATCATGAATCCTGAGTTTGTAAACCTATCCGGTGTGATGGTCACTGCAGGTTGTCGGTGCTGATCCTCAGCTCTCCATCAATGTGGCTCCTCACAGAATCAGTCCTCCTCCTCCTCGTCTCATCATTCTCAGGACATTTAAATGAGGAGGCCCAGCTGCTCTGGCATCAAATTCAGCCATCGTGGAAGATGTATTTGCATAGTTACTGAGCAAACTGCAGCAGGTCAAGCAGCTCACGGTTAAGCTGGAGAATCACTGATGCTAATTAGGTCTAGGTTTCATGTTAAAGTATCATCACGTTTGGCTTCAGTGCATCACTGAGCCGTGATTTGTGGCCCAGCCTAGAAATGCTGAGAAGCAGTTTAACAGACTCCACAAATCAGTCTGACATACAACAGTTTTGTGTAGTTTTGTGTATTTTTCTGACATGTGTATTGTATTTAGAAACATATCTTTATATTTAAACACTAACTTTAATATTTCCGAGTCAATCACCATATTATGCAGATTATTTATCTTAAAAAAAAAACATCTAACCAACTCGTATCGTAAAACTGTGATAACAAATTCTACTTTTGTAGCAGGAATATCTCAGATTGTGCTAAATAACTGTTTTCCAGAACGCTCTAAAATGTGCTTTCACATTTTTAAACAATAAGTGTAAAATAGGTTTTAATGTTCTTGATGCACCGTAAGATTCCTTGGATTTAATCGTGGAGCTTGTTTGCAGATTGAAGGTTATGATGTCGTCATGAGCTCCACTTCACTGCAGAACAATACAGGAATAGTTACATAGACATGACAGGGCGACTTGTTTTTTTGCATTTTGTAGATATTTCCATAACAAACCCAGTGTACAGAACTCTCACCAGCAGGTCTCATCAGTTCTTACGATTGTCTGTTCACAGGGACGTCCAACTGGTCGGAGAACTACTTCACCAACACGGCCGGTGTGGGTTTGGTGGTGAACCAGACGGACTCTGTGGTGGAACAAGGCCAGCAGACTCTGCAGAGCCAAGCAGAGGAGCTGTTCCTCCGAGACTGGAGGTCCACGTACTCCAGCTCTCTGTCTGTGGACGACGTGGACGCGTGTCCTCTCAGCCCACACTGAGGGCTCGCGGCTCATAAAAGCGCTTTGCATTGCTGATGAGCATCTTGCTTCCTCCTGCTACTTGAACTTAATCTTATCTAGACGGGATCAGCTCGCTGTGAATAAACACGGTTAGTTTCATTGCTGTTTACTGGCTGCCTGCCCTTTTCTGTATATAATTGCATTTTTAAATTTGATTTGGAAGCGTGTTATTTTTTATACTCTGTGATGTTCTGAGAATTGTCTCACAAATTGAGGTGCAAGGCTTTGTACTTAATTATTTTTATGCCTGGAGCATTTTGCATATCTGCCCTGAAGATGTTGGTGCCAAGCTTTAACAGTCTGCTGCAGGAAATCAAGCGTTTCCAAAGAGGTGCGCACAAACCACCGCCATGTTTACATCATCACCCAGTCTGTCCTCCTGTAATGTTTCTGTGTAACCACCTGATGTAACGCCAGCCCAGCAGTAGCAGATTGTTGTAAATACAAGTTGTCAGTTTTCCATTTCTAGCTGATGGCTGGCTCACAGAGATCCACTACGGAAAGAACTTTGTGTTTCGTTCTACGTTTTCCTCGTCCTGTATCTGTTTTACTGTATCGATCAATGCTGTAGCGTTTCCCCAATCGGTCCATCACCAGGGTTATCTGTTGTATGTGTGAGATCCTCCTCCTGTCATTAGCAGACACGTCGAGGCTTCTCAGACTGTTGCACTGTTAAACGAAGGGACCTCCTGGTTCTGGATGGATGGAGGAACTTTTCATTCGATCACTAACAGAGCGGTTTACTGGATCAATAAAAGTATGAATAAAACCTGCTCCCTGATTGGTGACCTTTGAGAGCTTCTTAACAGTTACTCGTCGTTTATGTTTCCATGAATCAGGATGACTTATGTAATAATCCCAGCAGTGGAATTGCTTTCTGACATTTGCGCAGATTTAAAAATGAAAAAGCAGCAGCAGGAATAGGAATTATGTAACCGGGAAGGAAGGAAGGAAAGACATCCTGTGATGTTCAGCCGAGCATTTGGTCAGTTTGACTGAACGAGCTCCTCTGAATCAGTTTGAGTGTTTCGGTAACGTTCATCTTCTGGTTGTTGCCACGGCAGAGAACATGACACTGGCTGCAGCAGCATGATCCTTTGTTTTTCTCATGTTGAGCTGCAGATGGTCCCGTTCACACCTTTCTGTGGAATTTTTCTTACAAAACTTAATCTTCTGTGACGTGAAAACAAGTCGTTTTAGTCCTAAAATCAACATTTGATTTTAATTTGACAGCAGAGCAGGAATATCGACTTGATTCTAGATTTTTATTAGCTCCCCATCATCAAGTTATACATTTGTTGTTCAAAGAATGACTATATTTTAAGGTTTTTACAATGTTTAGTTCTCCGAAATGGCCACTTTTTTATTTACTCACCTGGTTAGGTTTAATTTTAAGACCCCCTTCAAGTGACACTAAAGTTTTTTTTCACATACAGTGACTTAAATCAACACCATATCTGAGCATCTTCCACCTTGAAACTGCGGCAATTCAGTCTTAAAAACACTGATTCAGACTTCCAGCGTTTCACACAAAACAAACACAAGGAACCAACCCCGTCAGCCTGCAGCGTTCTGACACTTTCTGTATCATGATTCTTATTCAGAACTCAAACGTGTTGCTGAATTACTCCAAATGTTGGTGCTTGCTGTTGTGTAGTTTTACATTGAGTCATAGGTGAGCTGGTGTGCTCGAGCTGCAGTGAGTGAATAAGGAAACTTAACATATTCAAGATAAAGCAACTGTATTCACATCCAAGTAATTTATAAGTAACTTTGATACACACAGATCCGTTTCAGGGATTTAATCAGTAACTGCAGAGAGAGTTGAAGAAGAAATATTGGCTGCCACACAAACACAAGGTGAATGAAATTTGTTTGTGGTGCTCAATACATTATTAAAAAAGTACATTTTAACAAAAGCAAGAGTCCACAGTGGTGCTTTCAGTTCAGTCCTGATAATGCCAACGTGTACCCTGCCTAATGTTTACAATGCTCCGAGTGTTAGCTTAGCATGCTAAATAGCCATTTCAGACACACAAGTCAAAAAAAGAATTTCAAAGACAAAGCTAATAATGTCATATCAGAGTTTCAATACATGATCACTGCGGCCAGAAATCCTACACACAATTAGAACTACTAGACAGTTAATGCACTTTCTTTACTCCACTTGTTAAGGTGCAGTAGCGTCACGTTGGAGCACCAACCACTATATTATTATTAGACGTATATTAAAGTTAAATCAATTTTTCATTTTTTAAATATCATGTCAACACCTGACACTCCCAGACAAAACAGAAACAAACAAACCCAGACGATCGACTGGATCACTGTCAGTTCATGTGCCTTTATTTTCACATTTAAGACTTTTTAAAAATATACTACCTTAATCTAAACATATCTAACAAACGATTAAAAATAAATGGAACAAAAACGTCCAGCGCCCAAAATAAAGCTGAAGAATGATTGTTCCCTATGTAAAAGTACTTCATGATAGACTGTTTTTTTTCTTCTTCGTGCCATGATGAGAAAGCACCTGCTGCAGTTCCAGTTTCATCACCTCACTCCAGGTCACTGCTGGGTTTCATGGAGCAAACCTGCAAGATGCTTGTTGCTCACAGCGTCCCTGGCTTTAATTCATCCATCCTTTCAATCCACGAGTATCAGATGAGACCCCAGAAGATGAATGAAGACAGACACAATCAGCGTGGATGAGGGCAGCTTCCTTCACACAACCTCTGATCACGATCCAAGTCCTCTCCTCTCCACCGACATACAGAGGGTGTACTGACGTCACAGGAGTGTTTGGGCTGAACGATCTGCTGTTCTTATTCCATGGAGAGCTGCACACTCTCTGTCTGGACCTGCTGTTGTTGCTGCTGCTGCTCAAACTTCCTGGCTAGAAGGAAAAACAGAAGACAGAGGGAAGAGTTTATGTCAACATCACTGCCAACAGCTGCTTAGTGAGATCAAGACTCGTCTGTTGTTAGGTGGCTACAGATGTACTCTGCCTGATGTTCAAACAAAAAAGGAGACCTGCATCACATTATTAGTAACTTTAACTGCACAGTAAAGTGTGTGATTTCTTGATCATGTAACCACTGCCTGTACTACTTGTTATTTCTATATTGTGGTCTTGTTTTGATTTACAGTAACGTATCCTGCTTATATCTTATTGTTTTTCTACCATGCACTGTGTGTTCTCATGTTATGTGGTTTCTGTGCAAATCTGGCAAAAACCTTCCTTCAGGATGAATTAAGTTTTATCTTATCTAAGTTTCCAACCGTCCTCTACACAACGAAAGCTTCTGGTTTTTGTGTGCAACCCTAAGATTTGGACGTGCCACCCCGGTGAGATACTTCTAGCGGTGTCTCTGTGTCTGTGGTCCACAGCGGCTCAGATCAGGGCTTTTGTTTTTGTCCGTCCTCACCCAGAGAGTACATCTCCAGCTGCTGCCTCAGGCGGACCTTCTGCAGGCTGTCGTAGAAGTTGGGCTCCGGGTTGCTGCCGGCGGTGGGAGGCAGAGCGAAGATACGCATGATCTTCCTCTTGTTTCTGAAAGGAAAGAGCAGACAGAAGTTTTACCTATATCCCATTAGGTGGACGTCATAATCACGTTTAACATGTCAGGTTTGAAGGATTCTATTTACAGCCACTACAAAGATAGATAGATAGATAGATAGATAGATAGATAGATAGATAGATAGATAGATAGATTGAAGGTATCCAGCAGCTCACACATGCTATATTTAGGGACAAAAAGGCAACTAATATGCAAAATAACGTGCAAACTGTGCTGCCTTTTACCAATTAAATTGCACATTTTTAACGGAGTATGGTGTTTATTTGACTAATCTGACTGTGGAGGTTGACTGACTTACTTTCTGGCGTACATGAGCAGGCCGAAGCTGACCAGGATCACCAGCAGATACACATTCGTGGCCTCGTTCCAGGCTTCGTGCACCGAATAATCTATCGACTCAGGCTCGTTCCCCAAAACCCCGTGACCGCCCATCGAAACCAGAATAGCTCCGACCGAGTTCTGTCAGTAAAAAATGTAAATGCAAAGAGAAATCCGGTTAAATTAGCCTCGTTAGCTCGCACTGGTTAGCGACGCGTCTGTGCATTGTAAACACAACTACGTCACTTCCGCTTCCCTCTTCTTCTTCTTCGTGTGTTTCGTCCTGCAGCTGCGCAGCCCAGGCTCATAATGTGAGTACACTGAACTGTTTAAATGAACTGTTTACGAAGTTGTACACGGTGTCATTGTCATGCTTGTACAATGGAAAATACATAATTTGGTCAAAGGAAAATGGCCGCCATCCAAAGGCACTGGTTAAATTTGTAAGTGGAGATTTTGGTTTTCTTTCAAAACAAACTGCAACGTACCATTAATTATGTCATCTGAAGAAGACGTGCACAGCTGCTGTAACTTGAGGCCTCTTTTACATTTGTTTGGCAGTATATATGGAGACATTATCATTCTGTGATGCATGAACATCACAACACAACAATGGTGGTTCTGTAAAATGACAACAAATCAATGACCAGAATCAGTGACTACTTTGTTTTAGATCCTTTTATCTCAGTTTATTGGGGGCCTTCTGTTCGGCCATCTTTGATTTGCTTGAAACTTTTAAAATGATAAATAGTGGATATTTAAAATGTTATCTGTGGAATACTACCGTAATATTGATCAAATACTTTGAGATAAAACTGACCGTCTACCAACTTTTTCAATGACGTTTGAGACAATGTTTGAATCACAATATCTCACAAACTATGAAAGATAAAACCCCGTCATTGTCCAAAGGGGGTAAAAGTCCAACCAACTCAATGTTCTGTCCTTCAGCCTCCACTGTGTTGGGATGTTTCAGGACCAGAACAGGAAGCAGTGGAGGTGGCCGCCATGTTGAAACCTCAGGCAGGACCAGCTGGATCAGTGGTGGACGACAGCACCGATATCCCCGCTGGTCTGGTTCGACTTGGACCAGGAGCTGATCCTGGTGCTGGAGGAGCTCTGGTCTCATCTGTGACATGTTCTGAAATGTGATTTTACTAGTCTTCTCATGTAGTTACGTTAAAGTACTATATAAATAACTTTGATCCAAAGCAAAGTAAAAATGACATTTAAAACATAATTTAGTTGTACATGATCAATCAAGGAACGCTGTGATCAATCACTGGTGCTTCAATCTTTAATTAAAGCCTCAAGCGGCGATGGACGGGTCCTCGCCCTATGCTTGTCGGCCTTTGCGCACGGCGGGGTGTGGGGCAAACCTGAGGTTAGTAGTA